AACAGGAGTGCACTCAGCTCATATTCAGCTTGTGGTCCACTGTAACCCCCAGGTCCTTCTCTGCACTACTGGAGTCTAGCCAGTCATTCCCCAGTCTGTACTTTTGTATGCAGTTATTCTGTCCCAAGTGTAGGACTTTGCACTTGCCATTGCTGAATCTCATTTAGTTAATCTGAGGACCAATTTTCCTTTTGCCTTGCAGAGTGTCTGCAGTTCCACCCAAATTGGTGTCATACTCAAATTTGCTAAGTATGTGCTCAATCCTATTATCTAAATCATTAATTAAGATGCTTAACAATGCCAGACCCAAGATGCACCCCTGGGAAACTCCACTTGATACCTCCTCCCAACTAGTCATTGAGGCCTATTCACTGAATACAATGGTCCAACCAGTTGTGTATCCACTGTACAGTATTTTCGATTTAGTCTGTATTTCCTTAGCTTGTTAATGAGAATGTTGTGGGATACAGTGTCAAAAACCATGCTAAAGTTAAAGTATACCATGTCCACTGCTCTCCCCTCATCCATAGAGCCTCTCACATTATCTTAGAAGGAGGTCAGATTGGCCAGGCATGACTTGCTCATGGTGAATTCATGCTGTTGGTCTTGATCACCTTGTCCTTTTCTCTGTGCTCCACAGCTGATTCTTTGAGGATCTGCTCCATGATTTTTCTGGGTATAGATGTTAGGCTGACATGTTTGTATTTCCCCAGATTCTCTTTCTTCACCTCCTTAAAGATGGGCATTATATTTGTCTTTTTCCAGTTATCCAGTACCTTACCCTAACCTCTGAGTTCTCAAAAAGGACACTTTTTGTCTCTGAAATTACCTCATACAATTTCTTAAGTATCTTTGTCCTGCTGACTTGAAACATCTAGCTTCTCTGAGTAATCCAGTCTGTTCTGCCTTTAAGCTGTTGCTTGTCTGTGCTGCCTACTGCACTCACCTTTTGGTGGCTGTCCCTATTTGAGAAAAATTAAGTAAAGAAGGCATTAAATACTCAGCTGTCTCTGCATTATCTGTGACTGTATTGACTTCTGCATTCCATAAAGGATCTATGGAATCACTGGTCTTCTTCTTACTTTTGACCTACTTATAGAATCCCTTTTTGTTGCCTTTTATGTTCCTTTCCAGCTGTATCTCAAATTGTGCTTTGGCTTTCCTAATTTTCTCTCTGCATGTTCATGTGATACTCTTACACTCCTCCCTAGTACTATGGCCAGTTTCTGCTTTTTGTAGTATTCTTTTTTTGAGTTTCAGTTCATTTAAGAGATCAGTATCTATTCAGGCTGGACTTCTGTTGCACTTCACATTCTTCCGTCTCATTGGTATAACTTGCTCCTGTGCCCTTAAGAGAGCCTCCTTAAAGTACAGTCAGCCCTCCTGAACTCCTTTTCCCCTAAAAGTTGCCTCCTGAGGGATCCTGTCCACCAGGTCCCTCAATTTGTTAAAGTTTGCTTTTTTGAAGTCCAGTGTCCTTATTCTGGTGCTCTCCTTCCTTCTTCCCCTTAGGATCTTGAACTCTTTGTCATTTCATGGCCACTGTCACCCAAGTTACCCTTTACCTTCAAATACTCAACTAATTCCTCCCTGTTTGTGAGCAGTAAGTCAAAAAAGCTTCCCATCTTATTGGCCTCTCCATCTGAATCAAAAAGTTATCTTCAAAACACTCCAGGAACTTGCTGGACTGCCTGTGCACTGCTGTTTTTTTCTCCCAGCACACGTTCCAATAATTAATGTTCCTTATAAGAACTAAGTCCTGCCATTTGGAAACTTGAGTCAGTTGTTTTAAAAAAGGCCTTGTCCACCTCCTCCTCTTGATTTGGAGACTTGAAGCAGGCCCTTACCCTGACATCCCGCCCCCCACTGCTCTCTCCTCTGATCTTTACCCAGAGACTTTTAAAGGGTCTACCTTCCACTTCATACTGCAACTTTGAACACATGTACATCACTGTAATATATTATAGAATCATAGAAAGCTAGGGTTGGAAGGGAGCTCAGGAGGTCATCTAGTCCAACCCCCTGCTCAAAGCAGAACCATCCCCAATTAGATCATCCCAACCAAAGCTTTGTCTAGCCGGGTTTTGAAACCCTCCAAGGATGGGACTGCACCACCTCTCTGGGTAGCCTGTTCCAGTGTTTTACTACCCTTCTAGTGAGAAAATTCTTCCTAATATCTAACCTAAACTTCCCTTCCTGCAAGTTGAGACCATTGCTCCTTGTTCTGTCATCTGTCACCACTGAGAACAGTCTAGCTCCATCTTCTTTTGAAGCCCCCTTCAGGTAGTTGAAGGCTGCTTTTAAATCTGCCCTCAATCTCCTCTTCTCTAGACTAAATAAGCCCAATTCCCTCAGTCTTTCCTCATAAATTGTGTCCGCCAACCATCTCACCATTTCTGTTGCCCTCCTCTGGACTCCTTTCAATTTGTCCACATTGTTTCTGTAGTGGGGGGCCTAAAACTGGGGCAACATCTGGAGTACTGTGTTCAGTAGTGCTGAATAGAGGGGTATAATTGCTTCCCTTGACCAACTGGCAACACACCTACCAATGCAGCCCAGTATGCCATTAGCCTTTTTGACAGTAAGGGCACACTGCTGGCTCATATTCAGCTTATTGTCCACTGTAACTCCCAGGTCCTTTTCTGCAGAGCTGCTGCCCAGCCAGTCAGCCCCCCAGCCTGTACCAGTGCATAGGATTGTTCTGTCCTCAATGCAGGACTTTGCTCTTGTCCTTGTTCACCTTCATGAGATTTCTTTTGGCCCAATCCTTTAATTTGTCTAAGTTACTCTGAATCCTAGCCCTACCCTCCAGCAGTATCTACTACTCCCCACTCCCTCCCCCCCAGCTTGGTGTCATCTGCCATCGTGCTGAGGGTGCACTCTATGCCATCTTCCAGGTCGTTGATGAAGACATTGAACAAAACCGGCCCCAGGACCAACACTTGAGGCATTGGGGCACTCCACTTGAGACCGGCTGCCCACTAGACATAGAGCCATTGATTACTACTCTCTGAGCCCAATGCTCCAGCCAGTTTTTTATCCAATTTACAGCCCCTTCATACAGCCCATACTTCTTTAGCTTGCCTGTGACAATGCTGTGGGAGACTGTATCAAAAGCCTTGCTAAAATCAAGGTATAGGGCACCACCTCCTCTTTTTGTCCCCTGCCTATGTTTCCTGACCAAGCTATACCCATCTGTGACCATACTGTAGTTATGTGAACTATCCCACCATGTCTCTGTAATCCCAATTACGTCCTAAATCTCGACTAGGGCCTCCCATTCTTTCCTTCTTCTCCCCATACTTCTCGTATTGGTGTATAAACATCTTAAATTCTGACTGTCCTATCTACTCCCTGAGAACAATGCCAAGATTTTCATTATTGCTTCCCCTTACTGAGTTTTTACCTAGGTCTCCAGATTCTTTACTTACCTCTGGGCTTTTGCCTGCATCCCCTGGTGAACCTAGTTTAAAGCCACCCTCACCGTATTAGCAAGCCTATATGCAAAGACACTCTTCCCTCTTTTCGTCAGGTGGGCCTCATCTCTTCCTAGCAGTCCATCTTCTTGGAACACTGACCCATGGTTGAAGAAGCCCAATCCCTACTGATCATACTAGCTGTGCAGCCATGTCTTGATCTCTTAAGATGTGTCTGCCTCTTGGCAGGCTTTTACCATAACTTGGAAGCATCAACAAGAACACCACCTGGGCCCCCGTTCTGTTTACCGTTGCACCCAGAGCCATGTAATCACTTTTGATCTGCTCAGGGTCATTCTTGGCACTATCATCAGTGCCTAAATGGATAAGCAACATGGGACTGTAGTTGGAGGACCAGATGAGTCTGGCCAATCTTTCTGTGAAATTTCAGATGCAGGCTCCTGGCAGGCACCAGAACTTCTGAGCCAACAAGACAGGCTGGCAGATGGATGCATCCGTGTCCTCCAGGAGGGAGTTGATAACCACCACCAACACCTATCACCTTTTGATAGTGGTGGTCTCGGTCCTGTCTTCTATAAGGGTGCATGGCATGGTCTCCCCTACTACTGAGCTAGGCCCCTTCTCATACCTGTTCTCTAGCTGGACAGCTGCAGATCCAGAAGACTGCTGTCTCTTCCAGAGAAGGTGCCTCTTCCAGTGATTTTTCTCACTGTTCTTTTTCCATGATGCTGTAGGTCTTGTGCATTGTCGGTGAAGGCCTCATGTTCGTGGATGTTTCAGAGTCTATGCACCTGCTCCTGCAGCTCCTTTATCCAATTCCTGAGAGAATCCACCAGGAGGCATCTCTCAGACTCCAAGCACTCCCTTGCCTGGCTGTCTCTGACAAGAACATGCAGGCTGCACTCACTGCAAAGGCAGGCCAGAACCTGGGTAAAGCTTCAGTGGGGGCCGTGCCTGGACAGAGAGTACACAGGGACAGGCAGAGGAAGGGCTGGCAGTGGCAGAGGCATTGTGACATTTTCCACCCATCCTACTGATTTTTCCTGCTAGCTCTTTCTTTCTCTTCTGCTACTATGTCCAGCGCTTTCAAGCTCTCTTCCCAGGCAGTCACAGCTTCCTCTCTTAAGCAGAGCTTCCACTCAGATTTGAATGTTAGGTGACTTGTTTGTTGGTCCTGTGAATACTACCTGTGTCAGTCTTGCTTCATTTCAGATAATACTGGTAATTGTCCCAGGGACAAAGTAAAACACCTCCGTATGCCCCTTCAGTGCTAACTGTGGTATAATTTGCCTCCCTATTATGCTTTGGAATGCAGAAGCATATAGTTGAAAGCACAGAGTGAAGCATAATGTTTGTACTTCATTTTGGAGCGGGGGGCATGAGCTTGTATATGTATTTCTGAAAGCACATGGAACACTAAATAATAGCAAGCATTCTGAACATTAGCTTGTAGTCTTAAAATGTTTCTGTTGTCATGTTTGAAACAAGTCTTTGAAAATAAGTAGAAAAACACTAGTTAATGTCTAGTATTTATGGAGCCCTATCCTTATTTCTATGTTACAGAACAGTACAAAAAGTTTGTAGGAGAAAACACTAAACCTAATTATGGTTGTCAAGTTACAATTCAGTCTGAACAAGAAAAGCAGTTAATGAAACAATATCGTCGGGAAGAAAAACGAAATGCCAGACGAGAAAAACGAGTTGGGGAAGATGGAGAAGTTTTTGGAGAAGGACTAATGTGCTTTGATCCCAAGGAGCTGCGGATGCAAAGGTAATAAATGCCAAACGTTGAAAAATGCTTGTGCTGTAATTGCTAGTTTAATGTATCATAATCATTTATTTTCTTTTAGTTCAGCTTTGGTGATTAGACGTTTCTAACTTCAAGTCACGTTTTATTACAAGTGTAGAATTTTTTTGGTATGAAAACCTAATTTTCTGGGATAAGAAAGCAGTGATCTGCTTAATTAGAATCTTCTTGGTCTCATCCACATGGGTTAGAGATGCAGATTAGGGCGGTAAGCTATCTTCCTTAGGTGCTGTGCACACACCAGTAGCTTAAGATTTATGAAGTCTGTACTAAATGTATTGAAACTATTTTTTTCTTTTTAGATTAATGAGTACTATTTTCCATGCTGTCATCTAAAGGTAGAGTGTGGGGGAGGTGAAGCAAATAAGCCATTGCATTTGGCATTGAAGAATATATAGCAGAGTTGGTATTTTCGAATACAGATAACTATAAAATTTGATACACGTTATGTGCCGTAAAGTGAGAAGAAAGCTATATTAAAAGAATATTGTTCTTCTTTGCTTGGTTTTATCTAAGTGCAACATTTTAAAATCTTGCCGTTTGTCTTAGGTGATACAAACCTCTTCTTCAATTATTTTACTACAACTTAGTTTGTCTCCTTAGAAAAAGAGCTCAATAAATATTGCCATGATGTTAATATACCACGTTCAGTTTGTTGTGACAGATGCTTGTGATTGGCAGAATTATTTCAGTTATTTTTCTGCTTACAGAGAACAAGCGCTTTTGAATGCTCAAGACGTGCCTGTCCTAAGTAGACACAGAGATATGGACTTCGAAAAAATTTATTATCCACATGTTTATGATGCCCGAGCTGAAGCTATGAAAACATCAGCATTCATTGGGGGTGCAAAGGTATGCCTTTGGTGCATGACCTTTACTGAACAGTACATCTTTCCCAGAAAATAATATGCAGTAGGATTTTTTTTGTTCCCTTGGAAGTTTTAGTACTAGGTGAAGCAATATGTACTAACTTTTGCTTCTGCAGATGGTTATGAGTCTTTTTAAATATTCTGTTTCTACTTTGACTGTAGAAACAATAATCTATCTCCCAATTGATTGTCTGGTTTCCATTTCCGTGAACATTTAAGTCTTTAAAGATGTTTTTTCCCCTCTTTTCTTAGCTATTTTTCAGCAGCTGTTGAATTGATTCTACTGAAATATATACCTCCTGAAAATGGAGGCTTAATGATTTACTCCTCCTAAATGTAATTAGACATATTAATTTTTTAGTAGGAGACCAGATATTTTCTAGATCCTATTCTAGTTCAATTTCTGAATAGTAAAATATGGGAGCGCATGTCCCCTCCCCCCTCTCCCCCCCCCCCCCCCCCCCATTTGGGGTTCAGATGTGATCTGTTATACAATTAATTGATAGGACTGCATTTAATTTTAAAATCAATACTATCTCTTGTTACGTATTTATACATGAGGAAAATGATGAATCATAGTTTAAAATTGATTTAGAAATAATGAATAATGCTCTTTTTTGTGGTCCTTCCGTAATAACATTTTTTTCCCTTTCAAATTTTTTTGGAGATGCTCCTTCCAGAGGTTGTCCAGAGAGAAAACAACAAAATGTATGAAGAAGTGAAGATTCCCCATAGTGATCCAATGCCTATTGGCATTGAGGAAAAAGCAGTTTACATTAAAGATTTAGATGAGGTGAGTAAAAGATTTAAGAAGGTGTAAATGTTTGCTTTTCTCATTGGTCTTAAACTACTTGTTGTAGAAATGTTAGATGATTTGAGATCTGAAAAAATTCTAACAACTCAGTTTAAGTCAATTTAAATGGCCGAATGTGCAAACATTCATAGGGCTTTAGGTAGCCTTAAGAATGGCATGCCCAATCTAAGGTATCCAGGTTGTAGCCGTATTGGTCTAGAGGAAAAGACAATCAGGACTTGTAGTGGAGATGATATATTTTATTAGACCAACAAGATTTTTTTTTTTTTTAAATCTGTAATTGCAAGCTTTTGGGCACAAATGTCTGATGAAGTGTGTTTGTGCCCGAAAGCTTGCAATTAAAGACACTTTTTTGCAAAAATTTTGCTGGTCTAATAAAAGATATCTCTACTACGAGTCCCGATTGCCTTATACCCAATCTAAGTAAATTCACCTTAGAGGAATGCCTATTGCCTTCACAGCCTCAGAGCCGGGGAAGCTCAGGCACTTGCCAACCCCTTGGGTTGTGCTCTTCTTACTCCTTGATTCTGACAGGGCTTTTTTTTACCTCCCTGACTACCGCTTCCCCATAGTGGGAACACCTCCTCTCTCCCCCCCATTATGAATCAGCCAACCCCCTCTCCAGACCTATGCACACTCCCCTACCTGCTAGCCCTCCCACAATCCTGTCAGTCTCCCAGCCCCTTCCGAGTTACTTACCTCAGGCTGCCCACACTGCTGCTTGCTGGGAGTGAAAACCTAGTTGTGTCACTCCTTAACTGTGTAAAGCCACTCAAGACTAATCTGAGTCCTGTGAATGCGTGTTGGCATCCTTAGCATCTTAACAATACATGCAAGTCAGACAACCATATATAACAGTATAGTAGTTTATTTACCCATGGAAACCATGGTTTCAATTTGTACCACAAGTTGTACACGAATAGTGCTCCTGGTTTTTGTTAACGTCCAGAAATGTCTACATCCAATCTTTTGTGACTTTTGGCAAAGCACTTAGCTTTCTTTTGCATCATGATTACAAAAAGGGTAATCTTGAATTGAGTCCCAATGGCATTATGAGACTTTATTTATAGGCTGGTAGAGTGCTTTGGAATCTCAGATGAAGCTATGTGCAGCATTCAAATGGACTATCAGTTTTTCATTGACTATGGAATCTAGATCACTGCTCATCTTTTCCTTGAGCCCCCACTGAAAAACCCTTACATTTTACTTTGTGCATAGAGATGCATTTTGGAGAATAGTTCTAAATACTACGTTGTCTCTCAGCTAATGTGACATACCATGGTTGAAAATTTAACAAGAAAGGTTTTCATTGCGGTATGTCATTTACAAATATTATCTTTATACATTCTCAAATAGCAGAGCACATAAAGATTCACAAATGTATCTGTGTACTCTTGTGCTGTGAGTGTATTCATACATGCACTTTGTTTTTTTGTTACCGAAACATCTTATTTTTAATTACAGGAAGCAAAGTATTATAGATATGAAAAGAAAAACAAATTAGCTAGAGTAACGTAGTATTAGGCTGAGGTGTGGGACTGGTGAATTAGGTCTGTTTATAGAATGACACGACTTTAGAGAAACAATTTACATGATGTTTTGGTTCATTTCTGTTTTCTGATTTCTTGGGGTTTGAAAGTAGCTGAGAGAGACTGAGATGGTTCTATACAGGAGATTTGTGCTATAATAATAAACACACTGTAAGAACCTAGCTAGACTTGTGAAAGGTGCCTGTTCTAAAGAAGGGTATAATCTAAGGTTCTAACAAGTGTAGGCTTTATATATGCAAGGACTTGGCTGACTCTGGGGCTGAGTGTTCAGTACATTGCAGAATGTTGTCACCTGTAAGGTCAGCATTGGATGCCCAATGGAAAGCTATATTTTCATCTAGGGAAATTTTGGTAGCTTTCTGTGGGAGTGTGGGTGGGTGCGTGTGTGTGTGTGTGTGTGTGTGCACACGTGTGCATGTGGAAAAGTACATACACTGAAAAATGATAAAAAGGAAATAATTTTTTACTTGGTACAAACAGGCATCATTTCTGTTGTGTCATCAGCTATGCCAGGATGTGTCCCAGAATAGCTGGTCTAATTCAGGGGTTGTCAATTGGGGGTATACATACCCCCAGGGGTACCTAGAAAGGGGTTGGGGATACATGCAGGTGGGCGGGGATGGAGTGCCACCACCCACCACTCTATACTGCTGCCTCCCAGGAGCACTGCTGGGGGAGGGGGGGGAGGGCAATGGCTCCCCCCCGCACCACTGCTGCCATGTGCTGCTTTGCTTCCGGTCGGCCAACCCCCCTACCCCCCACCCTCCACTTTGCCAGAAGTGTAATCAGAAGGGGTACACCCTGGTCTAATTGATCAGCAGAAACAAATGTCATCAGTGCTGTTGTCCTGTGGGGTTGAGCCCCTGCCATTCCCAGGGCTTCAGATGCCCAACCTGCGGGACATCAACCTGTGAAATGTGCACTCTGAGAATCCCCTAAAGGGAATTCCTGGGATATACTATAAGTGGATAGGTATCTTCCCTTATAAGGCATCATAAGCTGTGAATAATTTGGTCATGCAAACAGTTTTGGGGAGTTTGGACATGACAAGGGGTAGGGACATCTGTTCATTCATGACTTGCGCTGTCATAAAAACATTTATGCATGAACAAATGGGTGTCTGTTTGCACCCATAACACCTAGTTAGAAAGTGGAAATCATTGCCTCATGTCACTGTAATGTATAGTTTACCAAGATTCAAAGGGTTGCACAGTTGTGTGAATTACAGTCTACAGAATAAGCAATATTTAATGCTTAGAAAAAGCTTTCAAAGAGACATAAAACTTCGTGGTTCAAGACTTCAGCCAGTCTATAACTATAAGGAAGTAGAATGAGTCTTGAATAATTATCCTGAAGTAGTGAGTATTGGATATCTTGTTCCTCCTCAGGCATCCAATTCTGATGACTAGTGGAGACACAGTATATAAAATGATCTATATATTCCATATATCCTTTTGCTTTTAATGTTTGTCCTCCATGCTTGCACTTACACTCTTACACAATGTACTAGTACAGGACAGAATTTTAAAAAAACCTACAGATCTAAAATTTTATTTTGGCAAAGACCTTCAAATATTGGTCTCCTTTTAATAGAATTAAGAACACTTAAAAGTTGTTTTATTTCAAATGGTGATAAGGAAATAATATAAGCAGGCTTTTTTGTCTAATATGAACTGGTTTTAATTTGTGAAAAACCTATCTTTTTTCTTTAGAAAGACGGTTTATTTTGAAAATAACAGACAGTATTCAATAAAATATAACTGTACCATAAAGTAATGGTTTACATAGGAATTAGACACCAGCACTGTTAAGCACAGCATTTGTAATATGAGTGTTTTTATACTAGCTCCTGCTTACAACTAGCTTCAAGCAATGTACACAGCATGTGGCTAGATGTAAAATCAGCATAGGCTGAAGATTTTAACATTGCTACAGTATGAGATAGACACAAGAGTACTTAGTATTCATGTGATTGCCCCATATGATTCCATTACAGAGGACAATCAGTCACATATCACCGGCTTTTGATTTTCTCTCATAGGTCAGCAGTAGGTAAGAAGGATTGTTCAAAAAGAGATCAATACTTTGTTTGATTTTTACTCAGTCATGTACACAGCACCTTCTGATCTAGCAGCTGAGTGCTATTTCCAAATTAAAGACATCATTTGTGCAAGTAACCCACACTGAAAGGATAAAAGTAAGTCATCACTACTGCCATCAGAAATATGCAGGGAACTAAATGCCGGGAAGACAAAATGAAGAGGAAAATATTGAACAGTGATGTAAAGGCCCCTGAACTTGAGCACAAGCCTACTTGTGTATGCTTTTTGGTCTTGGGGAATTTGGTACTAGGAATCAAGGAAAAAAGGAAGTTTCTCCATGACTTGGACCCCAGCTATTCACAAATTTTATAAGCAATAGAATAAATTGTGATCTGGCTGGGGCAAATATTTATTTTTTGGCTAAAAGGTCAAAAGGTAAGCTCCATAGTCACAAGATAGATATCCCCCTTTTAGATAAATCTCAAGCTGAAAGTGAAGCTATTTTCTCATACACGTTGATTGGTATATTTGTCTAAAACTTTTTATTTTTTTTAAGTAGGGCAACTTTAAATCTCTGAACAATGGTTTCATTTTTGAGCTGTCTGGTTTTATTTTGGTCATCTCAAAAGTTTTGTAGAAAACATGTAAGGTAGAATTGATCAAAGATGTACCATTTTTTCTTGGTAAAACACTAGTTAAATATTTTAATTGTGGGATATGGTATCTTAAAGTTACTGTTTCTCTTTCTTTTGAGCATGTCATGATTTTGCTTCCCTGTAGTATTTCTCTTATGTTTCCTTTTTAGTACTGAAATGCTTATTTTTTTGCTGGGGCTGTTTGTTAACTTGGTCCTTGTCAACTCATAGCTTCAAGAGTAAGAGGAACAGTTAACTGTCCGAGTCCCCAAGGCCTGGAATAGACTCCCTCCAGAGGTGGTGCAAGCATCTACTCTGGACTCCTTTAAGAAGCATTTGGATGCTTATCTGGCTGGGATCCTTTGACCCTAGCTGACTTCCTGCCCTTGGGTTAGGGGTCTGGACTTGATGATCTTCCCAGGTCCCTTCCAGCCTTAGTGTATGAAAGTTTATGAAAAGTTTATTGCACATTTGTTTGTTACGGCATGGCACGTTAAACCTGCAGAGCTGATGTCTACAAACGTGAACAGTTCCACTGTAGTGCAGAGTTCTTCACTAGGCCACAACTGTTCACCAGGGTGCCCTGGGGGAAAACTAGAAACAAAGGCCACAAACTCCTGGAAGATAGTTTCAGGCTGAACATCAGGAAAACCTTCTTCACAACTAGGGCGTCCAGACTGTAGAACAAGCTCCCGCCAGAAGTGGTGCAATCATCTACCCTAGTTGTCTTCAAGACAAGACTGGATGGTCAC